TACAAAGTAAAGGAAAAATAGTAATGATAACAAAATTAATTCACTTACATTGCAAGCCGATAAGGCAGTCCATCGCAGCGTAGAAGGCCCTCCAAGCGTACGGATATCTGCTCCATCGTAGTGCTGAAAATTTTATAATCTTTCCCTATTTATTATGCTATATATATAGGAGTTAAGAGAGTGTTCAAAGAAAAGTTAACTGGCCCTATAGCTTTGCACGCAAGCTGTTTTAGAGAGTGCAAAAAGACAAAGCAGAAAAACAAAAAAAACCTAGAAGAGAGCTAAGATTATCATGCTCTCTCTTAAATTACTTTACTTTGACCTTGAACTTGAAATTGAAATAATGCACGTCTTAGAAAGACAAAAAAAAATATTAGGAACAACGAAAAATGTATGTCACAAGTTCAACGTTGAGGGAGATTAGTTTTAGTCCATGTGGGCTACAACATGACACCAAAGAAAAGCAGGTATGTTATACTTCTTAAAGGGTAAGTAAAAGCTAAGATGATATTTTATATAACAGCTAATGAATATGGTATTATAACTAGTACTTTTTAGGTTTTAACACTTTTTACATAATGGATAATCTTTGTAATTCAGTTCACTTTACACTTCATAGGTAAGTATCCTAAGGTATGTAAGTATTTAGTTATATCCTTTTCGTTTCTTTTTAGTTATTACATTTAATTGTCTTTTCTTTTCTTTAGGTTTAGGTAAGGGATTGCACGTGCATGTGGGGAATACATTAGATTGGAGTTGACTTCGAAGAATGACTCGAAATTCCAATTAAATTTTCGCAAACAATTAATTATTAATTTACTCAAAGTACTCAGAAAACGAATTATAAATCATTATAAAACTCATTATGTCAGGAATATTTTGATGATCATATCCACTATATGTCGCAAAATCTCGGTCTCCGGCACGTGGTCCTTCAAGCGATCGAGAAAGCGCTGGCTCCGAAAAAAACAGAGTTGGTTATCCGCAAATCCAGAGGTCAGGATGAAAATCTGAGTAGATTCGGTGGGCTAGCAATAATCGTAGAAGCGGATTTCGAAAAACGCAAACTTTTCTCCCTTTTTTTCTACTTTATTACACGTAATTGATTTTTATCTTATTCTTTTTTTTTTTTTTTAAACACCGAGACTGTGCACGCGTTCAGCTAGCTAGCCACCAGAAAAAGGAAAGAAAGATCGTCGCGGAAGTTGATCTTAAGCAGCGTACTTTCCCGCTACGGTATCGGTAATTCGTGATTGAATGTCATATGTCCAGCTGGACCTTAGGGAAGTATGCAAGCTGTGTTTAGTGTGAATAACGAGTACAGTGGTGGCGCGTAATATAAGGGAGTTGAATTTAAAAGTATTGAATCAAAAATTCTGGGAATAAAAATAAAAACTAGGAAACGCGTAAATAAGGGTATAAGAAACTCATGTTATACTCACGGTACAAGATATATGCAAAAAAGAAGGTAGTTTTAATAAACAACTTTTTGATTAAAAAGCAGATCGCTTCTGGCAATCGTTCATCTTCATCAACCAAAGGTAGACAGTGTTGTCATTCGTTTATTAGGGTGTCACGATTTGCAGATGCATTCCGGTGCAAGTAAGAGACCATCTTAGTGTCAACGGCACTAATAAAGGTTTGCAGTATCACCGACGATATTTTAAATTTTTTAGTGTCCTTATGTCATCTGATTACTTCACAATATAGCTAGCCAGGACTGTTACGATGATACGATTGTTTCTGATATATTTCAGACACTGAAATTACGTATTTCGATTTGTTGTTTAATACATATTGTCTTTGTCCATTTAACTGCATGTCTTTCAAGTAACTTGAAAGTGGAAATAACTTTGGGACGCGTGGGTAGGGATGCAAACGATGCATCGATGTTTTCAAAACATCGATGTTTCGTCGAAAAATATCGATGTTAACATCGATGTTTTGCTGGACGATACATCGTCGATACATCGACTAGAAAAGTGAAAAACATCGACATCGTTCATTCAGTCCATTCGTATTATGCCGAACGACCAGTGGCAAGCGCGCGCTTGTTCTCGGAAGCTGCTGAAACCATCATTCAGAATAGAAGCAGGCTTTTGGGGGCTAGGTTATCAAAGCTTCTTTTCTGAACTCATTTCAAATTGTTTATTCATATTTAAACAAATAAGATTTACACATTAAGATACATCATAATTATAGCAACATACTTATACTTGTATTGAAATATGCTGCTTGAAGGGAGTTTCTATACGTACATACATACACTCGCGATCAAGCGTGAGTTCATGCTGGTTTTTGTTAAATATTTGTCGTTTTTAAAGTTATTTTTTTTTTGTTATTTTTGTTTATAAAAATATGGTTCATTCCGTAATCACAACTTAGAAAATTTCAAAAATTTTCATCTAAATTTTGAACTTTTTAGTCTGAATATTTAAAAACATTCTATGTAATTCTAATAAAATAGATGCAAGTTTTCAGCGGCTAAAATCGGCTTGATTTTTAATGATTTTTCTCTGGCGGCTTTTGCGTTTTTTTTATAAAAAAGGTGCAATTTATAATAACTGGCGTTGATTTTTTTAATTTTGTTTGCAAAAGGTCTTTCGCATTTAATTCTAAAAGAAATTTACTTTTATATGGTAAGATGTGCATAACCTCCGCTGCCGCGCTAGAGTGCGGACGTGTTTTGCATCGGCTCTTGCTTTTTGGTTTGTTAGTGGTTTTTAACATGGACTCGTGCGGAAAGTGTGGCAAATCATTTGCGCGAAATGATACATTAATTGTGCCGTGCAGTGGTTTTTGTCAAAAACAATTTCACCGTACTTGCTGTGTGGGCCAAATATCAGAATATGATGTCAGGCTATTTAACCAGTATAAGCATATCTGCTATCTTTGCCCTGAGTGTTTGTTATTGCCTGCAAAGTTAACAAGGTCTTTGGAGTCTTTCATGGCTACGCATAAAAATGGCTTAGACTCTATTGTAACCACAATAATGGGCCAAAACTGTGTGGGGCTAAAGAACTGTGAACACAACAAAAATGTTTCATCATGTTTAAAAACTTTATGTACAGAATTCGGTGCCCTAAAGGATGTTGTTGCTAATTCTAAATCAACTGCTAAGATGAACAAACAACAAGAAAAAGTTAAACGGTTTTCCTGACCTACGGAGAGCGATGTCACCAACCTCGGCTATGGCTTTTGAGAGTTCTGCGATTGTTGACAATGCACCCTCACTTACTCCAGCTGAGGCGGATAATAATGATACTTCGGATGCTTTGCCGTCGGTTTCTCAAAAAATGTGAACTTCATTATCAGCTAATATGATAACAGCAAACAATGCTTCTTCTTCTTCTCCTGCGGATGTGAATAATGCCACTTCTGTCGCTGTTTCATCAGCTTCTAAACAAATGCATTCGGCTTTTGAGAGTTCTGCGATTGTTAACAAGTCACCCTCACTTACTCCAGCTGAGGCGAACAATAATGATACTTCGGATGCTTTGCCGTCGGTTTCTCAACAAATGCGAACTGCATTATCAGCTAATATGATTACAGCAAACAGTGCTTCTTCATATTCTCCTGCTGACGTGAATAATGCCACTTCTGTCGCTGTGTCATCAACTTCTAAACAAATGCCGACTGCGTTATCAACTGCATTGGCTACGGTTACTAATACATCTTCACCTTCCACTGCTGTTATAAATGCTACTCACAATGCTTTGCCATCTGCATCTAAACAACTGCCAACTGCTTCGTCAGATATATTAAATGCTTCTACCCAGCCGCAACTCGGGGCTGATTGGATTACTGTGCCGCGAAAGAAAGTGCCCAAGCGGAGAAATGTCGTGGTTGGCCGTAATGAAAATAATGATCTGGGAGTATTTTCGCGTTTTAAGTGGCTCCATTTATCATCGTTCAAGCCAACGGTTTCGGAAGTCGATATTATTAATTACGTGTCGAATCAAGTCATCGTTGATAAGCAACAAATTGCCTGCTATAAACTTGTAAAGAAGGATACAAATGAGACAGCACTTAAATATATCAACTTCAAATTGGGAGTTCCTGAACATGTATATTTTAATTTGCTGAAGCCAGAAATCTGGCCAACAAATGTTAATATTCGACAGTTCCGTTTTTTTCAAAAATAGGGAGGGCAACTGCCCCCGGCATAGTTGCTTCTCTCAGGCCGAACAAGCACATTAAACTCTATTTTGAAAACGCCTCTGGACTCCGGACTAAGGCCGATACTGTCCGAATGCTAAGTGCGCACTTGGAGTATGATATTTTTGTTATCGTTGAGACTTGGCTCAATGCAAATTTTTTCGATGCGGAGTTTTTCGACCCGAAGACAGATCCCATTAAAACCGGATGTAGCCGAGGTGGGGGAGTTTTGATTGCGGCCCGTACTAATCTCCAAGCTTCGTTTCTACCTCTTCAAAATGAAGACACTATCATCGATCAACTTTGTGTTCGTGTCAGTGGTTCCCTTGGTTTGCTGTATATTTGCGCCTCTTATATACCTTCACTTAGCTGTGCTAACTTATACATGTCGCATGTTGACAATGTGTTAGCTCTTCATCGTAATATTGGGGACAACCAACTTTGTGTGCTTGGTGATTTCAACTTAAGCAATGTAAGCTGGTCGTTTTTCGATAATAATTTATTCTTTACTCCCTCTAATGTACAAAGTTCTGTTGAGTCATATGTTATTGATAACTTTTTAAGTATTGGCCTTACTCAAATAAATGGCCACGGCAACAATATGAATCGCCTTCTAGACTTAGTCTTTGTAACGTACAACATAAACTTTGTAATTTCGAAACCTTCTTCTTCGATATCCCCACCCAATTCATACCATTTACCATTGGTTTTAGATATTGAATTTTTTGAATTTTTCGAAGATTCCCTAGTATACAGAGCTGTTTCATTTAATTATAATCGCTGTGACTTTGCCTCATTGGATACTGCGTTGGGTGAATTACACTGGGATAACTTGTTTAAGGATATCAAAGTTGAAGGTTGTTTTAATTTATTCAAAACCCACTTATCTGATCAATGTTCAAATATGTGCCAATTTTTTAACCAAAAATGTATAAACTTCCTTGGTTCTCAAAGGATTTAAAGCGTCTAAAAAATTTGAAAAATAAGTTTTATAAAAAATTCAAATCAACCAAAAAGCAATGTTTTTTCAGAAAATATCGTTACTATAAATCAGAGTTCTTAAAGTTAAATAAGAAGCGTTACAAAAATTATATCCGTGATTTCGAGTCGGATATTAAAGTACGTCCGAAGCATTTTTGGTCCTATATCAGTTCCAGGAAAACAGGCTCGAGTATACCCAAAACCGTTTTTTACAAAAAAGATAATGCTACTTCTGTGTCTGAGGCTGCAAATTTCTTTGCGGATTTCTTTTCGGCCAACTTCGTATCTGATAATGACCTGTCTGTGGATGACCTATCAAATATCGTAAAAATTTCATTAAGAGCACGTCTTCTACTCTTGATGTGGGTTCACTTACTCTAACAGAAGACGATATTATTGAAGGTATCAAAAATATAAAAAGCTCGTCTCACATGGACGTAGATGGTTTTTCAGCTATCTTATTCAAAAACTGTGTTTCTCTAGTGAAGCCATTATTATTAATATTCAACAAATCTCTTTCTGAAGGTCTATTTATTGATGACTGGAAGCGAACATCAATCACACCTATTTTCAAGACTGGAAACAAATGCGACGTTGAAAATTATAGACCAATTAGTAAATTGTCCACAGTTGCTAAGATATTCGAAAATATCATTAAAACTAAACTTTTTTTAAAGTCAAACATTTGATCTGTCCTAATCAACACGGCTTTGTATCGGGAAGATCTACGGTGACTAACCTTGCAGTTTTCACGGAGGATTGTTTCTCAACTTATCGTAATGGCTTTCAACTTAATGTGATATACACAGACTTTTCTAAAGCATTCGACAAGATATCCCACAATATTTTATTAACTAAATTAGAATGTATGGGTATCCATTCGGGCTTCCTAAAGTGGATCAGGTCCTACCTACGCATGAGATCTAGCACGGTGGTTATCGATGGCGTTTCGTCTAAGCCATTTTCCGCTCTCTCAGGTGTCCCACAGGGTAGCATCCTGGGCCCACTATTTTTCGTACTATTTATTAATGACATCAGTTCCTGTTTTTCAAATGCTAGTTTTCTCCTGTTTGCAGATGACTTGAAAACATATTCTGAAATTAGATGCATAAATGACTCGGCTGAACTTCAATCGCAGCTTGACAGGCTTTATACATGGTGTATTGAAAATCGGCTTTTCCTTAACATAAGGAAAAGCCATAAAGTGACATTTACTAAGTCGAAAGTACCTTTATCAACGTCTTATTCCATTGCAAATGTTTGTCTTGACTCGTTAAGTGAGATTAAGGACCTTGGAGTACATTTCGACTCAAAACTCACGTTCACTTCGCACTTAAATAAAACTATTGCTGACTCATTTGCCATGCTTGCATTTGTTAGACGTCACTCTTCAGAGTTCACCGATCCTTATACTATTAAAATGCTCTATACAGCGTTTGTGCGTTCAAAACTGGAATATGCTGCGTTTATCTGGAGACCGAATCATTCTGTTCATATAAATCGTTTAGAAAAGGTGCAAAAGGTATTTTTACGCTTTGCTTTGCGTTCACTAAGGTTTGCGGAACCATTGCCTTCATATGTATCCCGTTGTCGGCTAATTAGCCTTCCAACTTTGCATAATAGAAGAACTTCTCAGGCTATCGCATTTTTATTGGGTATTATTTCGGGAAAAGTTGAGTGCCCGGCCCTACTTGAGAGAATCCATTTCTATGTTCCTAGCCGTAAATTGCGTTTTGACGTGTTTAAGGTTGGGCTAAGTAGAACGGTTTATGGTGCAAACGCGCCAATAAACAGAACCTTATCAGACTTTAATCACTTTTCAAATTTTTTAGACATAGACTTTACCAATACTAGAGCAACCACATTAGAATTGGAAAGATTTCTTATGTCCAGTCATTAAGATCATGTACATTTTGTAATTTCTAATCTGTTTGAAATTCTAGATTGGGTTTTTGAATTCTTTCATATGTAAGTAATTCTTGTAAATTAAATTTTTAAGTAGCAATTTATCATAATGACTGATAGTTATATTTAATATTCTGCTTAATGTCTGTTTTAACTATAGTTAGTTGTTAGACATAAATAAATAAATAAAAAACCCCGCTAGTAAAACCAATTCGTTAAAAATCAAGGCGATTTTTAGCGGCTTTTTCTAAAAATTGAGATAAAAAAGTTCAAAACTACTATAAAAATGTGTTGAATTTTTCAAAGTTTTGTATAAAGTTACGGTTTGTAGCGGATATGCGAATCTAGTTTTTTCGAGTTTAAAAATATTTCAGGCTACATTTTTTTTTCGTGTAGTGTAGATGAGTATTTAAAACATCGATGTATCGTTTTTACAACCAATGTTTTTTAACATCGATGTTTGTTGTGGGAACATCGATGTTTTCAAACATCAAGTGTAGACAGTGTGCCAAGTAATAGTTGCATTCCAGATGCTTCACGATATTGACAAAATTCACGATTTGCAGGAACAGCTGTTTTCTCCATTAATAAACCTTATGGGAGGTGGTCACCTGGAACGACTTCCAGTAAAAACCTGCAAATCGTGAAGCATCTGGAACGCAGCTAATGACATTTGCTTGAGTCTGTTAGTTAAAAATTGGAAATTTGTCGTCACATTTTTAACCGTTTTGGTAGTTTGAATTTTACATTTTTTTGAAATTGTGATCGATCGATCGATGAAATTGATCAACTCGGATCACTATCTTGTTGCAGCCAAGATAAGCACCCGCCTCTGTGCAGCAAAAAATGTGCGCCCAAATAAGCAAACAAAAGCTTAACGTCGAAAAGCTGCAATCACAACAGACCAGTGTTGCCACTTTGTGAGTAATTCCTCAAAACGTGAGGAATTTCGGGTGCGCTTGAGTATTTTTTGAGGATTTTTATTTTGAGGAATTTTCTCTCGATATATTTGCAGATAACAAATGCAAATTTTTGGACAAAAAGCTTTCCGAAGTTTTATAAAGAGAGAAATACGCTACATAAGCGAGTTGTCAAACATTCTTTAAGCCTACTTTTCCCATATCGCCATACACCATGCAAACATGACTCGTGCAAGCAAAGAATTTTAGTTTTCTTCCGGTTCACAATGTAAAAGGGTTTGGTTTTCTTCGTTTTTCTCTGTTGCGTCCTCATTCAGTAAAAATTCCGTTGCGAATGAGGCGATTTTATCATACATAACGTAAGCGGTTTGATCAAACGTCAACATGGTGGCCAGAAAATCAAAAAATTTTGATTTTTTTTCACATTCCCTCAAACGGTTTGTCAAACCTTCAAACACCACCATACGCAAAATAAATAGTTTTAAGGAAAGGGATATTTCGCTTGGTTTGTCAAGCCGCTTGTGTGGTGTTTTTCGCTCTTAAGCACATATGCATATGCTCTAAATATTCGAAATGCTATCGATAATCTTTTTCTTCCCTTCCTTATCTTTTCCACTTATGTATTTTGAACGAGCAAAATCTCAGTAACGAATGGAGAGAACACACATTGTTCGATCATAAGGATAATCAATCATATTGATTCTTCATTAGATACAGAAAATTATAGGAAAAGTGATTTTGAATTAAAATATTCTTCAGATTCATATAAGTTTCCTAATTTAAAAAAAGTATATCTGATTTGCTAATATAGAATTTTTTAATGCTTCAGTTGAACGTATGTTTAGTAGTTTAAAAATGTGTAGGAAGGACTGACTTGATGATCAGATTGAGCACTGATATAGTTGCAGCAATATTATCAAAGAACGTAGATAACTCTTTGATATTATATACAAACCAAGGCATAAAAAACAACGGTGATACTTTGTTTGAACCGCAAGAACAAATGCATCAATTGAATTGGAGAATGTAATTAATTTTTATACTAAGTACCTGTAAATAGTATGCAGTACACAATACTCATATCTGTAATAAGAAAATTTTGA